GACTGGTCTCAGGATCCTCCTCTTTTTGGTTTTCCAAAAATATTACATCCCTAGAGATTGTAATCTTGTTCGTCTTAGGGTCGAGAAGTCGATATCCCTTTGTTGATGCACAGTAGCCTACAAAAATAAATTTTTGTGACTTTGGGTCCCATTTCTTTCTTTGCGTTTTTGGTATATGTACCATGGCTTTGCATCCAAATACTCTCAGGTGAGCTAGACTGGGTTTTCTCCCATGCCATATCTCATAAGGTGTTCGATCTCCAAGGATTGCTGAAGGCGAGCGGTTTGTTAAGTACACAGCTGAAGAAATAGCCTCAGCCCAATATATTTTAGGCAGGTTTGCATCAAACAACATTGTTCGAGCTTTTTCAACTAATGTTCTATTGGCTCGCTCCGCGACTCCATTTTGTTGAGGGGAGTAGGGAGTCGTAAGTTGGTGAACAATTCCTTCAGAAGAAAGATAGTTCTTCATTTCTTCATTGACGTATTCGCCACCATTATCCGATCTGATTTTCTTTATTTTCGCTCCTGTTTGTTTCTCGACCATGGCTTTGAAACTTTTTAAGATTTTTGTCACCTCAGATTTTTCTTTGAGAAAATACACATACATGAGTCTTGAGAAGTCATCAATGAATGTCAAGAAGTATCTTCGTCCGCCGACAGATGCAGTTTCCATAGGTCCACAGAGATCTGTATGTACAAGGTCTAGAATATTTTCAGAGTACATTTTGCTCCGTTTGAAAGGTAAACGTGTCTGTTTTCCCATTATGCAAAGCTCGCATGGATCTTCCACTACAATATTGTCGTCTAAGCCTGTGGATATTTTAGACAGCTTTAACATACCTTTCCTGTTCAGATGGCCTAATCTACGATGCCATAAAATACCTTTATTCTCAGAATAAAAACAGTTTTTTATTTCTGTTGTATTCATACAATAAATTCCATTTTTTAGATGAGCTGTTGCAACTAAATCACCTGTCTCATTATTATGAACATAACCCCCACTTTTGTCAAAGGTTACAGTGTGTCCCTTCTTAACTATCTTACTCACTGATAGTAGGTTAACTGCCGAACTTGGTATGTGAAAAACATCATTTGCTTCTACGTCTACAACTTCACTACCATTATATAGCTCAAGATCTACAGTGCCAGAACTAACTGCAACTAGATCTGAACCATCTGCTGAAACTATTGTACAGCTATTTGGTTTTAGATTGCTAAGCTTATTTACATCGTTTGTTATGTGCGTGGACGCACATGAATCCAAGTACCATAAACCTTCATTATGGGTACGCCGATGACTGTCTACCGCCAGAAAAGCATTTTTCTTACTTGTATCATGGCTATTTTCATGTTTGTACTCATTAGGCCTACTTTTATTGGGCCTATCTGAAAATCTAGATTCATTAGGTCTAAACCTACTGTTTTGGTTAGGCCTATTAGATTTATTGTTACTACCATTTGATTGAGGGCAATTCTTAGCTAGATGGTTAGGCTTATTGCACCTAAAACATTTTAGCGGTGTTGACTTATTGGACCTAAACTGTTTATTGGCATAAAGAGCAGATTCGCCGGTCCAGTCCTCGGATTTCACATCCTGAAGGAGTTTTACTTTGATAGAATCACCAGTGATAGGTGTTCCCGAATTTTCTAATGCCATGATCATCGGTTTGTAGTGATCAGGCAAACCTGCGAGTAGCAAGGTACCAATCCACCCCTCACTAACATTAAATTTCATTTCATTTAACTTAAAAGCTGTTGTTATGATTCTATCACAATAATCATCAATAGACTTACATTTTTCAAGCGTGGTTGTGACTAAGGTTTTTAGTAGGCCAACTTTCCTTGTTAAGCCAGAATCCTCAAAGGCCTTTTCCAGGGCTTTCCAAGCTTCTGCAGCCGTTCTCGTGTCTCTGATGTGAGAATAATTAATCTTATCCACAAATAAAACTATTCTTGAATGGGCTTTCTTGTCTTTTTTCTTCCAGTTATCACTGATGGGGTCCGGTGGGGTTTCCTCTATGACATCCCAAAGGTCATCATGTACGAGATAGGCCTTCATAGCAAATTTCCAAGTTGAGAAGTTTTCCCTCCCCTGTAGTTTTTCAACAATAGGTAGACCTGAAGAAGCACTCATTTTTTGTCGGTACTGTCTTCAAAACTATGAACAAAAGTCTCACGTAGTCGCACACGGCACAACCTATGTGTAGGTTAGGATCAATCGTTACTCGCGAACCCGTGAACAAACCGATATCGCAATGTTCCAGTTATTAACATCCATATCCACAAACGGCCTCTGGGCCCATAACCACTGTTAGGGTTATTAAACAACGCGCAATGGTGTGGATATGGAACATTTTATTGTCTATTAGAGTTATTACACAACAGCACACACATGAAGTAACGAGGACATTACATAACTTCACAACCGACTCCGGACATAGGAAGAATAATACTTTCATTCTTAGAAGAAGAAGAAGTCATATAGGCCTAAGTTACATTGACACTTGATAGCCTAAAGATTGGGGCATGTATGTACTATATGACAAGAATATAAATTTATCCTCTCTAACAGATTTCAATGGTTTGATTTGAATATTAGTCATACAGAGAAGGTGATTAGAGCTCTTTTAAAATGAACTTCCAATACTCCATGCATGGATAAATTTCAGGAATTAAGAATATTTACTGTGGTAAATCTGTATATATTTCAAACAATAACGTATGTAACAAACAATGAAGAGAACAAAGTAAAATTAGAAAATGTGCACTGCTATGACACAAGAAATTTAAAAAAAAAATTGTACTTAATCACCACAGAATTAGTCTACACTGAAAACAACCTTCATAGTGCATATGGTGGAAGGAAAATACATAGGTGTGCTATTCCTGTCATTTGCTGACGTCATCCAGATTGCAAACAAAAAATCTGCTGATGTATTGCCATATAAGTATATATTTGTTTCGATGTTATTGTTATTTTTTTTATAACTTTTCTAAATTGCAAAATGGTGTTTGCAATTTGATTGACGTCAGCATATGACAAGAATAGCACACATATGTATTTTCCTTCCACCATGGCATACATGTGCTGGAAATGATTTTACAGTAACTTGCCACATGAAATTAAAAATGTAATTGATCTTAAACTTTTGTAATGAACATGAAACAACTTCCTTTTAGACCATCCATTATACTCTATTGAAGACTTTTTCAAGATATCATAGTCAATATGGAAATCATTCTCAGACATGCCACTGACTTGATTATCTAAACTGATTGGGAAAAAGGGGGAAACCCCAAATATGTGTGCATTTAACTTTGTCATATTTAGTTTTAGTCTTGATGCCATTCATGTACAAAACAATATGTATATTGAATAAAGTGGTTTGAATCTGAATCTGAGCAGCAATATTTGGATCAAAGAGCTGGTTTTAGCGAATTTCCCTATAGGGAAGTAGCTATTACCGTAGGTGGCATGGTCTAGGCCCGGGACTGATTTACTTTTTCATTTTGATGTCCCCAGCGGCCAAAAACACCATTCGTTCAAATTTTTATATATTTATATATATATATATATAAATCTATATATTATATAAATATATAAAAATTTATAAATTTATAAAAATATATAAAAATTCTGTGAACACGATAACTTGAGTAATTTTTATCCGATTTTGATGAAATTTGGTTTGAAGGTGTAAGGTGGGATAAACTTGAATGAGTTTGCGAACCAGCATGATCTAATCATGGGAACGGGGTTTTACAGGCGGTTTTATGGCGTAAAAATTGGTTTTTCTAATTTTTGAACCTCTAAACGCAAAATTTTCCAATTTCTCTTCAGACCTTTTAAAGAGCTTAAAAAAAAAAAAAAAAAATTAGTATATCAAAGTGTTTTTGTACAATTATTGGTTACGGAGAAAATTCAAATAATTGTTATTTTAAAATTCCCATGTTATTCTTTTGGGGAATATTGTAAAATGTTGTAGTCTGCTTATTTATGGATATATTTTGACCAAACTTGGTAAATGTATTTATTTTATACTGAAAACACACTTGTTTATCCCTCCCTGTAGCAGCAAGCCTATGTAATCATAAAAATTAATGTTATTTAAATACATTTAATTGGAAATCAATTCAGGTAACTCTGGAAATTCGCTTAGTCAGCAGGTTTGCTGCGGCTGGGGTATTTTAGTTTTATACCTAGTTCTAAAATGAACTTAACATACATAATCTACAGAAAATGGGTTTCGGAGATTAAGTTTTGAACAAAATCAAATTTGAGAATTTATTTTGTTTCCATTCCACATTAGGTTCCATATTATCATATTAGTTTTCTCAGTATTCAGCTGTGCAACTAAGCGAGTTTAGTATTGAGTGAAGTGCGATTTTTGCATAGAAGTGTGGTGGCTCGTGTTTTATTTTGTGTGTATTTCATAAATTCTAGATTGACATTGACATAAGACAGCAAAATTGTGCAGTGTAACATTGGTAAGGCCAGTTAAAAACATTAGAGGACTCAATAACAGTACTCTCTGCTCATTTAAAAGGGCTAAAAAGTTAAAATAATAAAATCTTATAATCCTGGGATTGATCCTGGGATCAGCTTAGAGAAGTCCTGGATTTGGATTAAAACCCCGGGATTGAGACCCCTAGCAAAATACTCCATAGTGATTGAGTACTACAGTCTAGTATAATTTTTAACCTCTATGGTGGTTAAAAATAAATAAAATTTGGTGACTAAATATATCATTTGGGCTACTACTTTACAGCAACAGACCATGGTTTCTGCAAATTGCTTTGATTTCATATTTTATATTTATTAGATTCGAAAGAGTTGACACAGGCCACAGATATTTTTACTAACATATATGGTTAGCAATTGATAGCATCTGCTTGATATTGTGATCAAGACGGACACGATTTTAAACCTGCAAATCTGTTCCATGATAAGTGTAGAGAATAAAATAAACAATAAGATTAATTTTCTCTTCTTTCAGTAAGTGGGAGCTCATTCTGTGCCAGTTCTGTGGTTCCCAAGGAGTCCACGTAAGCTGTGGAAAACTGGAAAGTAAAAATCCCACATTTTCCTGCTCAATTTGTTTACCACGAGGTAAAATTGTTAATTGTTCTCTACATCATTTGTGGTTTCACTTTTAAGCTCCTCTGGGGGTGGTAAATAGTCTTTATTCACTTTTGACTAATACTAATTGTTTTAGTCTCTTAAAAACATGATTCAACATTTATTATACTAAATGTCAAATGGTAGAAAATTGTTTGGTTCTGAATTTATTTAAGAATGTAATTCAGTCTTACTTTTTAACACATTCGCTGTGGTTGCATCCAGATTTGGTTTCATCCAATAGGAGAGGTATATACTGGGTTCCAGTCATTGTGGACGTCTTGGTTTGTGTTTTGCAAGAACCCAACAGATAGCAGCACAAAATAAAATTGCTAGCAGGCTCTCAGTATTGCCAAATGGAGGAAATAAGCTGGTTCGAAGTACCCGGATACACCATAAAAAAATACTACACAAACAAAATAATAAAAATCTATTTTATTTCAAAAATTGTTTACAATATACAGGGTGGGGACATATTTTACCTAGTGGTTCCTTGGGTCAAAATTAAGAGAAAATCAAGAATAATTTTTTTTCCAAAATCACTTTATAAGCAGATATCCGCCATTTTGTATTTTTTACATTAACTTTCTTATCTTTAAATTTTTTCAACCGATCCTTATAAAATTTTGTATGTATGTTAAGGTAAAAGAGACCCATGTTAGAAAAAAGGTTTATCTTGATTCAACTTAAAATTTCAAAATGGCTGATTTTATGAAAAAAATTTCAGGAACACTTTTATTTAGCATTTTTAATTCCCTATCAAACGAATACGTTACCAAGATCAAAAAGATCAAAATAAGATATAGGTGAAATTTTGTGATTTTTTGTTGTAAAATGGGGTAGAATAAGGCAGAAGCTAGTCAGGCTTACGCTATTTTACAACAAAAAACCGTAATATTTAAGCTGTTTCTTATTCGATCTTTTTAATCTCGGTATCGTTAAGTTTAGAATACCCTAGCATACATACGTACGTACATTAGAATACACATATGTAATAAATATTTTATAATAAATAATTTAATGAACAATTTTTTTTTTCAGAATGAGGCTGGAAAACACATATTTTTCAAAAACAAAAGACTATAACAGAAATATGAGACTGTGAAGTGGGACTTACCAAATAATTGTTTTATGTTTTTTTTTGTTTGTAGTGTTAATAAATTATTTTATGTATGAATGGTCTTTGAGGTTCCTGAGGCTCAAAAGCTCCAATAGTAAAATATTTTAATTAGTGATGGGTCGGTTGCTGATTTTATTGGTTCGGTTTCGGTAAGGTTTTTTTAAATATCGGTACTCGCTCGTCAGTTATCCCCCTTTAAATTACTTATTTAAATAAAATTTTTCTCTCTACTCATTCAAAGGTAGTACAAATTTTTTTAAATTAGTACTGTATCTTACTTCATTTGAGGGCTATTATATTTTGAAGCAAGATTAGATTAGAGAACATACCCTAACTTCAAATACGTTGTTGTATCTAACAGTACAAATCACAATTGTTTTTTTTTTTATATTTCAGGTTACTATTCAAGGCTATACTCACAAATAATTATAATAATATTAGATTATAATGTTGTTAAAAACTGTAATATGTAAGGTTTTGGAAACACCAGCACACCAACATCTTATATCATTAAGGTGTTAATATAAGTTTTTATAGACTTTTCTTTATTTTATGGATTTTCTAACTATTGGTCAGTAATTTTACTTGTTGATTCAAGCAGTTTATTCTACTAATAAATTTGTAGAATTTATTAGTAGCCCTGCTAATGGGGGTTTCATAGCATCATTACCATAGTAATAAATTTAAAAAATTAAAATAATAAAACCTTTTATGTCCTCCTAACCAACTACGGAGGCAAAATGATAACACAATAACCAATAGACGGAAACTGTTTTTTTTTGTCATTTCTCGGTTCATTTTTTTTAACCGGTAAAACCGACAACCGACATTAACAACCCACCCATCCCTTTCAACCCTCTGAGTCACTTGATGCCTTTTAGTGATGTAATAAAGTAGGTATTAAAGAATGACTTGAATTTAACTAAAATAGTATTATTTATGATTTTATGAATAGATGTTCCTCCATGAAAGCAGAATGTGGTTTGTTATCAGATTGTCGGTAGGCCTATACTGTACACTCCCAACTAACCGAGTGTAATATGGATCGCAGAAAAAATTACATGATAATATGTAATCTTGATACAACAGTATTTTTATAGGTATTTTGTCTTTTAGGCTAGTTCTTTTTTGTTCATTCTTTGTTTGTTACCATAATATCTTAGGCTATTGTTAAAGTCAATTGTAAACCTAAAAATATGTATTTAAAACAAATGTAAAATAAAGCATATTTTGTTACAAACTAACTTGAATAAAATATTTTTAAAATACATAAAATGTAATAAAGTTGTTTTACAAAGACTGTGTTGCCTTTGTTACTGCCTCATTCTAAATTTTTAGTTTACTTGAAAATCATGTAGCCTATTATAAGTATTATTAATACTTTACATGTTTACTTTGATAGTATGGCTACATCATATCATCGCAACTAAACTTTCTAAGAAGTTGAGCTATCTACTTGTAAAACCATCTTCATATGCTACAGTAGACCAAGCAAAACAATCCGATAAGTTTTTTTTTTTTTAATTTGACTTTGATGTTAATTGTACCATGTAAACAGTTTTAGGATGCAAACAAAAGAGAGTAGTAATAGTTTCTAGTTTTAAAATTAATTCAACAAAGATATGTTAGAAGTTATTAGTTAGTCCTGTAAAAAGTAACTGATGGAAGTTATTAGTTAGTTAGTCAATAAAGTAACTGATAGAACTTATTAGGTAGTTAAAAAGACCAACCGATAGAAAATAAAGTTAGTTTTTGAAGTTATCTGTTTGTTGGGCAGTTGTTTTCAAAGATTTAATATGAAATGAAATAATGACACATCTGGGTAACTAATTGTGTTATTAATAACTAACATTGTCACATTGAATTAATAACTTATTAAAACTATTACTTAACTATCACTAAAATATAACAACTAAGAAATCTTAAAGCATGTACACTCAACCAGGGCACTTTCCAGGAAAAATAGGTAAAATTACCATCCAAGTGTCTCTAGTTTTGGTCTTAATGTTCGCCCATTTATTGCGCAATCGCAGTGTTTTATTAAAATGTATCTTAGAAACTTAAAACAATGTAAAGTATACTGTTTTATATATCATTTTGTTTGGAAAATTATGGGCTTCAATGTAACATATAACACATTACAAAAAAAATGTTCAACAACTTATTTTTATGAATTTTATGAGGATTCAAAAAAAAAATATATATAAGGAAGTAGGTTTGCAAATAAATAAGTTATAGGCAAAAAACAGATTTCGGTACATAGCGTTTAGCTAAGAATGCATCAATCAATCAATCAAAATATCCTTTATTCATTTAAGTACAATTGTACAGGAATAGAGTCAGATCTTACAAAATAAAATGTTTTACATTTAAGAACTAAAAATAAGACAGAATATTTATTTTATTTGTTCTCCCAAAACTCTTCAAGAGAATAAGGGGCAATTTTAATCAAATACTGTTTCAGACAATTTTTAAACTTTTTTGTATCATTTTCAGTTAGAAGTATTTTTGGAAGATGGGACATAAATTTATTTCCTGCGAATTTTGTTTTCTTTTTATAAAATTCTAGATTGTGTCTATCAATTTGAGATTGAGAACGAGTGTTATAATTATGACTAATTTTGTTTGATACCTGAGTTTTTGTAATATTTTTTTCCTACAGTCACCCGACAAAGTTGGCTTCCTTGTACTGTTTATAGTACAGAAAGCTGCTAATTGCTGCATATTTATACTTTGCCGTACGGTTTATACTTTGCCGTACGGTTTATACTTTGCCGCACATCAGGATTCCAACGAAACAACACAAAACAGCGTGGTTCCATTATGCACGTAATCCGTGTACGCTTAGAAATAGGTTGGCAACACTTAAAGATAATTATACTATGAGCAGCTGATTGACTATTATAACTACGATTTAACCTGTCATTTCGTGTTTATCGTTTCGGTATTTCTGAACTTTCTGGACTTTTCTTTTAAACGTTTTTAAAACCTTCCTACGATCTTAATAAACAAGAAAATACCTTTTAAGCATTTTTTTTAGGCGCGGAAACCACTTCAAATTACAAAAACATACGGATCTATATTCTCAAAACGCGGAGCATATTTCTTGCCGAGGAAAAATAGCGGAGTGATATGGGCCGCGGGTACTACTTTCTCTAGGGCACCATTTGTGTTGCCAGCTGAACCTAAAAACGTGTTGCATAGTGTTTGAAAGACTAATTATTTATATGCTTTATAGTGACTGTAGGAAAAATATAATGTGTAACACGAGTGAAAAAGGCCTTTGCTGCACTCGAGATCATTCCACACTCGCCTGCGGCTCGTGCGTAAACATTGCTCTCGTGTGCAGCAAAGTGCCACTTTCACCACTAGTTACACAAATAACTATTGCATAAATAATAGTTTCCAAGATATATAGTCCATGAACAGTTAGTATTCCAAGATCGGTAAAAATATGTTTTACCGAATCTTTCCTTTTTAAATTAAACATTGCCCTAATTGCCCTTTTCTGGTACGATAAAATCCGTTTTAAGTTTTTTGATGTAGTTGCTCCATATATACTGATTCCATAAGCTAAATTAGAATGAACTAAGGCTTAATATATTGATATTAATGTTTTTAAGCTGCAAACTTTATACATTTGTCTTAAAGCAGATACTCCTGAAGACATTTTTTTGATAACATGATCAACATGTTTGTCCCAGGCTAGATTTTTATCAATTATTAAACCAAGAAATTTTGTATGTTCTACCTGTTGTAATTTATAATCTTCTAAGATTATGTCTGGATTTAATTTGTTTTTGTTTTGTTTTGTAGAAAATGATACAAAATTAGATTTTTCAGGGTTTAAAAGAAGGTTTTTGCTATCTAAGAATTTTTTTATGATGGAGAGACTGACCAATGATGATGCCTCAATACTTTCTTTTGAATTTCCACAAATGGTAATATTAGTATCATCAGCATACAAACAGGCCGCCCCGCCCACAGGCATCAAGTCCGGCAGACCCCTCAAGTATATTAGGAACAAGAGGGGCCCCAACACCGACCCTTGCGGAACTCCATGGCGGACCATCTGCATCTGTGAATTAAACTTTTGGATGTAATTATATTTACTTGAGAAATCTGATTTATAATGTTCTATCTCAACATATTGTTGCCTAAGAAATAGGTAGGATCTAAACCAATTTAATTCTTTGTCATGAATACCTAATTTTGATAAAGTGTCGATAAGATTTTCATGCGATACACTATCAAAGTATCAATGCATAGCCTAACCATAGCTAGGAATCTGGCTGATAATTTACATCAATATCACTCACTACCTACTTCTTCAGGATCATCAACCAGCCCTTCAAAGTCACTTAAATCTTTTTATAATGCACCACGTATATCACTACTTATGATTTTTAACACTAAAACAATGATAAACGTAATAAAACACATCAGTCATCGGTGTGAGGTTAACCAAGCTGTTTACAAATACGCACGTCAGCTGTCTGCTACAATATTTTCGGAACTGAAATGAAAAGCGTATAGAAACAGACATCAGGAGAAAGATCTGAATCTGCTAAAAAAACGATACCTAACTCGATACAGTTCAATCTGATTCAGTCAGTCCCAGAGCCGTCGCCGTAAACAGTGTTTGTAAGTCGCAAAAGCGACACATAACCCTACAACGGATGTGTTATGAGTCGCTTTTACGACACATAACACTCGGAGAGTTAAATGCAGACAGACAGTCTTAATTACCAACACAAGTCAATGTTTTTGAAACCACAGTGTATCTTTCTGGGTAGGAAGGACAGTTAGGATGTAAACAAACCAAAAAATAATAAATCACTGTCACTAGCCAGGCCCAGGCCCACTCAAGGTCTTAGGCCGCGGCTCCACTTGCTGTAGATTGCCGCGCTGCAAATTGTAGCTTGTCAGTTGAGGAAATGGGATTGCAGCGATCAAACAAAGGTGGCTCCACTAGCGACAGTCTGCAGCGCGCTACATTTTACAGCACGCCGTAGAATGTAGCGTCGCGCGGGAATGGAACTCGGACCATTTTCGCGCTACATTTTGCAGCCAACAGGTGGCTCCACTAGCTGTAGATTGTAGTGCCGCGCCAAGTCAGTGTACGTACAGCCGACAGGCATACATGGACAAGACACACATATGCTACAATCAGTTTAGACTTTTTAGTGTCCTTAGTTTTTTTTTTTTTTTTGTGGATTGATTTGCAATCAATGGAGCCTGAACTGGACTGTGAAATTATTATCTTAGAAATTATTAAATTATTACATCGGGAGTGTGGGAATCTTGTTTTATAGAGGTTGTGTAGGGGTTTCCTACTTTATATTATAAAGTAAAACAGTAGTAATTGGAGAAACAAATACGTGAAAACATTCAATTTGTTTTTAAGTGCAGCAGTCGTACAATTGTTATAATTAGCCCTATAATTAAAAGCTCCTAATGGCTGTTTTAGATTATTTTTAATAGGTACAACAAAAACTCACGAAACTCATATTGATATTCACCTTACATTGGTTACTTAGAAATATTACTTCTGAGGGTGAATGAGTGTAATAAAATTAAAATAAAATAGAAATAGAGATAAAATGACCATAATAGTAGAGTAATTCGACACACCCAGGATTGTTGAAGCGAGGGTTCACTGTATAAAATTAATTACTTAAAATTCAGTACACTAAAATTAACTTAATGTCACTGAAAGCCTTTCCTATACTCCAATTGCTTCTCTTAGTTTGGTATCCTTATGAAAACGTGTTGATACTGATTCTATTAAGTAATCAAACGAGTTTTGGGACATTCGATAGTATTCAAAAAAACTTGTCTGAATACTTTCAGTATGCAATGTATGGAACATCCCTTCCCTTCGGACTTTACGTTGCTTAACCCTTTCAGTGCTAGGCCAATAATTCATATTTTGTAAGACTTTTTTATTTGCCTTTTAATTCCATTACCTGTTGTTGAATTTTAACTGTCATGTTGTCACTATTTTATTAATTAGGCTAATTTTGAATAATAACACAATAAGAAAATATATAAGAAAGATAAATCCCGGTATTTGTAGTAAACATAAAATAAAACTTAGTTTTTGTTGTAATTTTTCTGGTTTTCCTATAAATTTTTATGTTCTGATAGCATTATTTGAAACCAAAATCTCATAAAATCAAAAGACATATAGTTTACAATGTAATATTGAATTTAACCTTGATTTAGTTGGACGAGGTTATCGTAATATAGCCATTTTAAGGAAACTAATGTTTTGCAACAAAGTCTCAGGAACACATTTATGATCACTGTTGTGTTTAAACTAAAAGATTTCATCTAAATAGTCCGTGACTAACTGGTGCTGCTACCTAGTAACGCATTGAACAACCATCTGTAGCGCTATCTGTTCGCAATCGGTGGTGACAGCTTTAAATACCGGTTTTTGACTCCTCAGTCTTCAAGCACAGATAGCCGAGAAGGCTAGGGCGTGTGTCACTTGGCCAGTGGCATTCGTCTGCTCGAGTTCGAATCCCGTCCTGTGTGGCAAATAATTGGTGACCTGTGTGTTTGTAGCGATATACTACAACCACTGGGGCATAGTGAGGTGTTCATAATCCTTAGTTTAGACATACACCTCGAAATCATCGGATTGGGCGAATCTTTTAGCTAAGTGGTTGTTAGTGTATCCTATGAACATGCAGGTCACCAATGGCCGTTTTGCTATTTTTTTTTTAAATAACCTTCCTCTCTATATCCCTTAGAGATTTTTTAAAACAACGATATATCGTTTCATAGCACTGAAAGGGTTAATATTGGATGGGTCCACCATTTTCCTGCTGTGATCGGCGTCGTCTTGATAAAGTACACTGATAACGATAACAACACTACGAATGTTAATTTGCGGCATGATCCAGGGCCACGTTTACCTCCGCGCTACACTTAACTGCTAGTTTAGCCACGGTGCATCTGAGGACGCTGCAGATTGTAGTTCGTACTCTGCTGCTAGTGGAGCCACCATCTGTAGCGTGTAGCGCGCTAAAATTTGCAGCGCGACAATTTACGGCAAGTGGAGCCGCAGCCTTAGACCCTATGCTTACACAGTTTGCAATACAATGCTCAAATTATTGCAGACAAAATTGTGTAACATGAAAGTAGAGTAAAAAAATATTTCTTTGTTCAAAAACAGAAAACTGTTTATTTTCATAGAAATTAATTCACGGTAGTTTGTCTTGTAAATATTTTATTTTATCATAGACCAGATCTTCTTTGTATTTACGAGTGTCGTTTTGATCAAATACGTGTGTTATTCATTGTGATTTCTGTCAAATACTGTATAACATTCAGTTATGTTTAAATGCAAAATAAACATGTTAATTACCATAATTTAATACTGTATTGTATTACAATACACTCAATAGTATTTTGTTGATTAACCGCGATTTTACGTATCCAGGAAGCCTCAACCCTACTTTATCCTGGTTAATCGGGAGTTGAGTATCACAGGTTTAAGGTTGAAAAATTACTTCCCACACTTGTCAGAGAAATGAACATCAACTTAAGACAATGTTTTAAAGATTACAAATCACCAAACATTCCCCCTTCCCATCCATAGGTGTTGTTAGTGGCTGCCACTGCCCCCCTGGTCAAAATGCATACCAAATTCCAAAGCAACAGGACTTTCCATTTCCCCACCCCCCAAAACTCGTTGTTTGTCAATAAGGCCACTGACCCTCACGGCCGCATGCAACCCTCACCGATTGTGCAAAATACGAATATATTTTCTATTCGTTAGCTAGAATCTAACTGAGTAGAAGTTATTTCCAGTACTTTGAAAAACTAACCAATATGCTATATCAATCCAATTATCACTTAATGCGAGGTTGGTTAAGGGTAGTGGTGTGCGATGCGTCGAAATTTTGATTTGATTCGATGCATCAATTTGATGTAAAGGAATTACAGTTGACTTTGATGTTAGCGTATTGTTTAAAGTTAGCCGAAAAAAAAACTAAAGAATATCGCTAATTATTATAATGACAAGGTTATTAATTTTTCAAAAGTAATATCTATAAGTAGGAAGACAAATGTTGATATAATTTTCAGTTCAAAAAAACTATAAAAGGTGAGTTTTCCTAGGTACTAAATTCAGCAGGGACTGTATCTTGCAGTGGGCTACTCCAAGAGCATTCAGTCCCACACTCCTCCAGTTTTTTGTGCAGAAAGTGTGACGATTTTAAATTATTACAGTGCTTTGTGTTAATAACATTAATTGGTTGTTATTTTTGTTATGTTACTTTTCACTTCTGAAGTATAACATTCAGTAAATTCAACTTTGAACTGCGGCAATTTAGTTAAAAACATTTCCTTGTCACATGGCAATGTCGAATTGAACTAAATTTTTTTCCTCTGGAGACAAACCATTACTATAAATAATTGCGACCAATGAGTTTATGACTTTTGCCCCATAATGCATGCATTGGAAACACCTTTTTTTCTACAGTATGAAAAAAAAATTGTAATTTGTAATTGGTTAATTATGTATGAAGGTTAAAAAAATTCAGTCTATAATAAACAAGAGTTTTATTGGTTCTCTTAATAATTAACTAATATCTTACTTTTAGTACCTTATTGTACAGATTGTAACAGAGTAAATGAACATAACGTTAAAACATAATAACTACCACAAATAATCAATGAGACACACTTGAAAAATTAAAACATTTTTCTTTTTCCGAAATAACTTAGCTAATAAATACTTAACATTGTCAAATCGTACATTCAAACGATTAGGAACTAATTAAATAAAACAATTTCGGTGAACTCGGTAGCCTTAGTCCATCAGCAGGCTCGTACCTGAAAACAAAAAAAAATAAAAATAAATAAAGCAAATGTCAAAAGGTTTACAGGAAAGTCTAGTTGTGATTTGTGTCATTGAAAGTAGCAGCTTAAAAGAAAACTAAATAATCTAAACACCAAGCAGTTTAAAGAAGAGCCCCCGGACCTAGGTTGGATAACTCAAAAGGTTGGCTATAACGAGCAATCCCTAAAAACATAACAAAATGAAGTACTATATCATTTGGAATTATATATTTATTATTTTGAAGTCGTACTTGCTTTATTGATAAAATAAACTACACTTGACTTATCTCCTTTTTTGGTATTGATAGAAAAGTCACAAATAAACACAAAACACGGTTAAGTAAAATACTTTCAGTGGAATAAATTATGGCTGTAGGCAAGAGCCAATAAAAATTCTTAAACTTAAGTACTGTAATATCAATTGATGCTTTCCAAATTTATTGTAAAACAGAACAGAACTTTTTGTTGAAATTAAAGATACTAGCAACCATTTTGTTATGAGACAGGATGTTTATTAATAAGCCTCTCACTGGAGGCTAGAGTCACAAAAACTATCTTGAGCTTGGAGTCGTTAACCCCCTGCCCTACCCTCCCTACAAGTTGCGTTGTTTGTTTAATCTAGCCATAAGATAACTCTAGATTATATTACAAAAATGTTGGCTGTTTTCAGAAACTTTGTATGAATACAAAATAGCTTATTCTTAGTTACATCCTGTGTAGATAAGCGTATGGTTCCCATTGCCGAGCGTGGAAGCGGAAATGCCGAGATTCCTACAAAACAGCAGTTTAACCAAACTGTTCTCAAAGCAAGGTCGGTTAAAACAAACTGTAATATTTTACGATTGAGGGCGGATAATCCGATTATCACTTAATGTGAGGTTGGTTAAGGGTAGTGGTGTGCGATGCATCGAAATTTTGATTTGATTCGATGCATCAATTTGATGTGGTGGAATTGCAGTTGACTTTGATGTTAGCGTATTGGGGTGTTATCCTCTTCTTGATACATTGTTTGTTGAAGTGAATATCTGCAATCTTCATGAAAATCTTGATTCTTGTATCCCTATATTTTGCTGCTTTGCTTCACTATCTTCACTAAATAACTTCTTAATGATTGTAAGTGTTATTTGACATATTTTTTGTGCTTTCAAATATTAATGGCTATCATCAAACCATTTAAACGTATGGTACACTCAATCACCAAAAGTAAATTAGGTAGAACTTCTGAGGAATATACCTAAAAATCAAATTCGTGACAGCTGCTGTAGAAGATTTGACGGAAGCATTGCTTCAATTTTCTCCAGCAGGTAGTGAAATGGCAAGGACAGCCATGAAAGGACCTGTAAAATACTTAAACTCAGAAAAGTATAAAGAAATCAGTAATATGCATTTAGACCTAAACTAGGGAAACACTCTAGAGAAAAGGTCGAGTTGTTACACAATGGATGCTGCATTTAAGTTAAGTTACAATAAGTTATCTGCAACTTTTTTTTAGGGATGGACGGGATTGAGATTTTAGTTCGGGACAGGACGGGATTTTTATTTCCTTCCCGTTTTTCAGGACGGGACGGGACGGGATTTTTTTCTGTGCATAAAAAGAATGTCTATTGCAGTTACCAAAAACGGCATACGAAATCAATCTTTACCGTTTGTGGCACTGATCTATAATAATCAAAAAGTGGGTAACAATTTACAGGTACCTATAGAAACTTGTGACTCGCGGTCACGGTGCGATCGTCAAAATGACGGTGGTCACGGGGTGATCGTCGGTATGACTTGCGGTCATGGTGTGATCGTCGGTATGACTCGCGGACACGAGGAGATCGTCGGTATGACTTGCGGTCATGGCGTGATTGTTGGTATGACTCGCGGTCATGGGGTGATCGTCGGTATGACTCGCGATCACGGCGTGATTGTCGGTATGACTCCGCGGTCACGGGGTGATCTTTGGTATGACTCGTGGTCACGGCATGAACGTCGGTATGACTCACGGTCACGGCGCGATCGTCTGTATGACTCCGTGGTCACATTGTGATTGTCGGTATGACTCCGCGGTCACGGGGTGATTGTCGGTATGACTCACGGTTACGGCATGATCGTCGGTATGACTCGCGGTCACGAGGAGATCGTCGGTATGACTTGCGGTCACGGCGCGATCGTCTGTATGACTCCGTGGTCATGTCGTGATCATCGGTATGACTCCGCGGTCACATGAGTATGTGATTAAAGTATGTGTTTAAAATAGCTGTGTCTTGTTCCGCTTACAACTGCACCAACAGAGTACAGAAAGGCAGTTGCATTCCGTTTCACGTGTAAAGTACCTATTCTAATAGATTATAAACTAGGTGTCTGAGTAAGGGATTCCTTAACCCGTTACAGCATGTTCAACTTAACTGAAATTCGTTTTGTTTTTATTTTGTTGATAGGGTTAAACTAAAACTGTACATTGTAAAACATGCACAGTGAAATAAATGCGTCCGGGCTTATTTTCTCAGAGGTCAGTCAACACTATGGGTTTATGATGGTAGGTTGGGTTGATATTCATTAGGTATTATGTACTATTCACATCTTGTGCAATAAATCCCTACTAAAAAAGAACAAAAAGACAATTTGACAACTAAGGTAAGCTCATGTTTTTTAAGGTAGTTAAGTACGTTTACAATGCATTAACTTGTCAGCTTCAAACATAAAGGAAAACTTTAACACAAAAAGACTATTTGTAGCCGCGTGTTCCCATTTTGTGGGCACTATTTTTGAGGAACACGTCGCAAATGTTTCTTTTGGGGAAGACACCCATGAATTGCAATTAATTAAATTTGTTTGAGACCTTTTTATTAAAATGTATTACCACCACTCAGCTAACCGAAAAAGTATCACGTTTTTACGCATAACATAGGTCTGCAAATATATAAGTAATAGACAGAAACTCACCAAAATAATTTATTCAAAAATATTTCATGTTGGTTTCATTAATAAATTGAGTGTGAAATGACAAATTTTGTACTTACCATATTTTCTTTACAATTACTTATTATTTTACCATGTATAGTTTTGAACTAGTCAGTTGTCAGTTGTGTGAAAAACCATCTAAAATCAAGTTTAGTAAATGTGTAGTTTTAAAGAGTTCAAATGGGTTATTCTATGCAAGAAACAAAACATACATTAAGTTTTAACAGGGTGTCCACCAGGCCAACCAGAAAAAATTCATGAGTAAAAAGATTTCCAACGCGTTTTGCGCCAACTCCCCCAATGCTGTTTTAGCTCTAACACAGTTTGCTATTTTAGTTATCGTAAAGAGCATTCTCAGGTAAGGAAAAAAATTATGATTGCTGTAATATTGCCTGACACAAGTATTCAATTTTTATATATTACTGATTAAATAATCAAAAAATTAAAAACTAATCCTTAAACCTGCAATTTATTAATAACTTCCTAAAAATAGTGATATGTTGATACCAAAATGTATCGAATCTCTGTACAGACACATGAAAAATAGATTCTTAATACTGATCATTTCAATTTTACCAAATTTTCTGAAGGATTACTACACCAACCCCTGGTTTATGTACTTTCATATAGTATAATTTTGGAGTAATGGGTTGTTTTCCAAGTGGCCTACAGAAATAATAATGCAAAATTACAAAAATTGCACGTAGCCAATTTATGTTTTAAACCCTTCTAAACACATTAAATAAATACAACGTTAAAGGTGAAAATACTACAAAAAAATATAAAAAATAACTTTCTAGAAGTATGCCATTTTAAAATTGTTGGTCAAGCCAAACTCGAGGTTATATTGTAATCATCTAACACATTCGTAGAGACACCATCATCATTTTCTGCGATAACTGAAAAATCCTGAATATCTCACTCAGTAACAGAAGTAAATGATGTGAGATCAAAAACATACAGATTTAGCGACGATGCCCATCGGTTCCGGGTATTGGTGGGTGAGAAGAGCTAGCAGAGCAGTAAACGAACACAGGCCAGCTGTGAACAGTATGAAAAACGGTAGCTCTTTCTTGGGGTAAACACTCACTTCGTGGAATGCTGCAAAAGTAACAACAAAATCAGAAGCTAGAGAAGATAGTTTGCAATCTGTGAATCCAAAAAAATTGACTATTATTTATTTATTTGCGATTTCATCAAAATCGGGCAAAATTACACAAGGTTATAAACACGTCCAGGGAGCGGCAAAATGATCTGACGGTTTTCTTTACCGCCCTATCGAGTGAGTGAGTGGTGGAGGGTGGTGGGAATTGGGGCGTTCCAGAGCCTACTTGCGGACATTTTTAGTAACCATGGAGCTGTGTGGACGGCTGAGCACCATGCTGTCCTCAGCTCCACAGCTAAAAATGTCCTCTATTGGTCGCTCTGGAATGCCTCTATTCCCACCACCCTCCACCACTCACTCATTTGACACAGGGCGGCAAAGAAAACCATCAGATCATTTTGCCGCTCCCTCTATATATATATATATATATATATATTTACACTGTATATACACACACATATATAACAATTTGAACAAAAAACATTTATTTACCCTCCATGTTGCAGCAAACCTAATTACTCGTTAAACTAATTCTATTTAAAAAGGGAATAAATGTGATATTTTTAAGGAGGCTTTTTAGTGTAAATCAGACAAATGGAAATTCGCTCAGTTTCCAGGTTTGCTGCGGTGGGGGTATTTTAAATGTTGAACACTGTATAAATGAGACTAATGAACGCCAGCATTTGGTCTACAACATGGAAAATATTGTGAAAATTTCTAAGTCAAATTCCAAACTCCCTCAACCGTTTGCATACATTTTCTACATCCAAACACTTTACTCAGTTCACGTCTGTTGATTGGTGATCGTTATCAACAGTAATCAACAACTGAGACCACAGAAATTAATTTGCAGAACGTGATTTATATACATAGCAAGAGTGTCAATTTTCTTTAAAAACGTTTTTAAATATTTTGACGAGATTTAGAGGTGAAATCCAATAGTTATAGTTGTACCAGGTAACAGTTCTCTATCTGCGCACTCGGTGCAGGTGGGGTATGGGTAGAAAAGATGTCCTCGCTCCAGAGGATATGGCAGCATACGGAACGTCCCTTCCCACGTACAGTGTAGCAGGTTCAACGCCCCCTCCACATTCTTCCAGTGCTGCAGATGGAAGAACGCGTATGCAATAGCTTCCGAGTCGCCTCTCTTTAAAACATGTTCTGATGGCAGTATGAGAGGCTTCATCTCTAGCAGGTACTGAAACATAACAATCATTAAGACTTCATAATACACATCTCTAAACACACTTGTCTTAAGTTGAATGTAGTGTTATTACTGCGGACCTTTAATCTTGATTGGTAATAAACAAAGTTTTCACAAAGTTTGGGATCTAGAGTCTGATCCCATTCTCGTTCAAGAAAGTACCTAAAACATTACAAACCTAGCTAAGGCTGGAAAATCAAAATACAAATAACTATATAGAAGTAAAACAAAAACAAAAGTCTTCAAATAAAAAATAATTCAGTAGTAACAAACGAGATTAGAGAACACAATGAACATGTCTGCAGAAGATGGCATATCTAGTGAGAATGAGGTCACACTTCCTTAAGGCAACCGCGTAACCTACGTCTCGCTAGAGCCACCATCTTGTATACAGTTATATGTGTGGGTTTATTTACTATTTTCCAGCTTTTATTGAATTTGTGTACTAATATGGTTATCTATCATCAAGTTAGAAAGTAACCTGACGACAGGATCAGATTCCAGATCCTGAAACTTCTGAGATCTTTGTTTTTTACTACAAATCAGAATGGTAAACAAACTCCCCATCGCCAAAAAACAATTAACTTGAAACAATGAATAAACTGTAATGTTAAGCAATTAGCATACATTAACATATACAAGGCCAGCAAGTTTAGAGTGCCATGATAGTTTCGTGCAAGTATTGTTATGTTGAAACGGTTCCAGATATTGCAATTGACATACGATACTCTTCGTTACACTACCAGCAACAAATATAAAGGGTCAAACACAACCCATACATACAATCACAAAACTGTTTAAAATACAGTACACTATTTTAACAGAATTATAAACTTTTATATAGTTAATATATTCATACCTTTCCAATATTTTTTGTGAAAGAATTTTAAATTGTCATTAATGATTATGGATTTGCTTTTGGGCAAGTAATACCTCGGGCATACATATATATATATATTTTTTTTATTTTATGGAGCCTATTGAAGAAACTTGTGTGCCTTTTTGAAAAAGCGCACAATGAGAGTGCTCACAGCAGATTTGAGTCAGCCCTTTCTAAAAACAACGACTTTCTTGTATGCAAAGGTACCAGAAACCAGCTTATTACAGTGTAATGTAACAACAAATATTAAAATGAGTTTTAAAGGTTAAAACTGAGAAATTCTTAACCCTTCGCAGCTGGCATGCCGAGCAATTTTCTAGCATTATCTATGGATAAGAATAATTATCAGGACAAACCTATTATTGAATGTAAAGAATTTTCCGAATTAGATGAATTTAGAAATAGTTTCAATACTCCAGATCCACTTTGTAACCAAAAATTCAGTTTTAGAGTGTTACAGTTAAAATTTCGGAGCTATAATAAAAACTTTGATTATTTTTTTAGTTTTATGACAGAGTCTCAAGGTAAAATTCCATTGTATAATCTTGACAGAAGCTTGGTTAAGGAACTACAGTGACCTTACAGCCCTAGAAGGCTATACCCTCACTATAGAAATGAAATAAAATCAAAGAAGTCTCAGGGAAATCCACGAAAGTTCTGGGAAGTTGTTAATGATGTAGTGGGGCATCGCTAGCCAGTCTGCATTTCCATTGGAAGTTTTCAGTGTGAAAAGTGATGGTCATTGCTACGTGCAGTCACTGCTTCAATATGGTATACTGGCGTGGGGCAGTGTCTCGGCCTCTATGCTAGAGTCTCTGGCTGTTGCGAAGAGGTCAATAATCAAAACCGTCCTAAGCAAAACATCAAGATATATATATTGTAGATATATGTGTTGTATATATTGTGAATTCTTTGTAAAAAAGAGAAAATAAATTCATTATTTCATGTTTATATCCAACAGAGGAACTTTTATTGTGTTCATAATATTCAACAATTATTTGTACAAAATCTTTTAGTCTTAATTAAGTCAAACAAAAACAAAATATTTACAAATTTGCAGCATAACTATTCTACAAGACATAGAATTAACTTTGGTTTCCATTTCCCTAGATTTAAATATAACCTCCTTAAAAAGTAATTCATTTTTTATCGCCCATATCTTATATCGGAATCTTCCACCACAAATCCTGCAGTATGAGGAGAGCAGTGTCCCGGTGTACAAAAGAAAGGTGAGTGCATGACTTGCCAGCATTGGCCGGACGGCTACAGAGGCGCTGATAAAATCCCCGTAAGCCCAACAGAACAAAAAGAAAAAAAAACTTAAAGCTGTTAGTAAATTGCTGAGACCCTGGCATTGTAGCTACAAAATCTTTCTGTTGCTATAATTTCAATCTTTGGTTACATTAGCAAATCATACTCTTAAACTTTTTGTGTTATTTTGTCCTTATTTGGTACATATTAATGATTAAATAACGTTTTTTATTTAATATTTTCTTAGTTTTAAGGAATAGTCACACAGTAAATTTAAATAAATGTTTTACTTAGATAAATAAAATTGTTGTTTATCCACAATGTAACAGTGGCGGATCCAAAGGGGTGGCGAATAGGGCGACCGCCCTCCTCGGGCATACATATATATATTTTTTTACTGCATGTAATACAGTGCATACACATTGTGTATAATAATTAACTTTAGACAACGAAATGGTATAAATATAAAACTGACATTTTGGAGACTTAGTTTACACAATTTTTTTTTTGGGGGGGAAGGGTACCCCGAACCACCCCCTCCCACCCAGTTCACCCCCCCCCCTGGTGACTGTTCTAGATCCGCCACTGCAATGTAATTAGCAGGCTTATTAAGCCCATGCGGGGAAATATATTTCCTATTAATATGTATCTCTTTATTGTATTGCACAATTGCTGGAAATAAACTATTTGACTTTGATCTTCAACTGCTTAGCTACCTTGAAGTTAAAAGATGTTTCACGGTTATTTTGAGATGCTGCAACTGTCATTACCTCAGCTGTGTACCAGACTTATGGTTGAAGTTGAAGTTTATACCTTTGGTACGTGTGGGTTGAACTCAACAGCTCGGTGAATCGCTTCCACTGCCGTCATTTCAGCAGTTGTCAGCCCCCTTTTGCTAGCAATGTCTGGTGAAAATCTGAAAAAAACTCTCTTTATTTATTTTTTTACAGTTAACTTGTAAATTACAGGTAGATACAAGTACATTTTTGTATAAGGGAGGACTGGGTTTTATGGTTTGGGAGAGTAACAATATGTAAAGGTGTTATAAGGAACATATTTATTTTTTTAATCATATGTAAAAGTCAAGAGTACTCTGATTGAGACAAAAAGTCAGTAATTTTTTAGACAATGTTGAGAAAGCATAGGCTTTTGCTTGGAATAGTAGTCTAACGTAAACACTAGAGATAAGCCCCACCACAAACTTTGAGGACAAGATGACATTCGCTGTCTGGTATGTGATTTAGCTTGATAAGCACCAGCTCTGATCATAAAATACATTCTAATTGATCAGCTAAGTATGTGATGTGTTATTATATTTACGGAAAGTAAAAATGAATGACCAAAAACTCTGATGATGATTCAAGTGTCCAATCAACATCAATTACCATCTACTACTACATGTAATGTATTTACTACAACTTTTATATGTATTTACCATCTTGTTAAAAACACTACAAGTGTAAGCAAACTAAATATGTTTTAACACGTTCGCTGCTACGGACGTTCCGGAACGTCAAACGGGCCACGGCGCCAGGAGCTAGGATCGTTCCGGAACGTCGCCGTTCATTGATGTTTAACGTTACCATGGATCAGTTAGCTCATCACGAGCATCCTATATTTCTTTGCAGCTCGTGGGGACGTACTTTTCTGACAATAAAAAATATAGGTAGTTTCCCAAAATCACCATCAGGGTCGTTTAGAACAGGGCTTTGTCCACCTCTTTCCTGCTAGATATCGACACTACTTTACCGACTGTAACCTGGGTAGTGCTGCTATCTATCAGAATCACTTAGTACTATGTCAAAAGCCAGTTTTATTGCAGAACATTGCCATCCAGTACAACTACTGTTGTTTTTACTGTAATTCAGTGTATCGGCAGCAATGTTTACGTAGCGACGAGCGTTAGTTCAGCTCCTGGCGCCGTCGCGGCATCTAGCGGTCAGCAGCGAACGTGTTAAGTTATATTAGACATATGATTGTTTACTTTCCGTAGATACATTTCATAATTAAATATAGTGTCGTGGTTTTATATATCTATTCTAGTGTAAATATATGTTTTTAACAAAAAGTAGAATAACATTCAATTCAATAAACTGTCCTCACCTAAAAGGCAATTATTAGCATTAGCATTTTGAAGGAAATCAAGTACAGTACAACTCCAACTATCCGAATCATATTCGGATAATTGGATTTTCAGCAAAATTGGGGGTATTTTAAACTAAATAGGCTGAGCTTGGCAAATCGTTTATATAATCAATTAACATCAATTAATATATGTTTTTTAATCCTGAGCATAATTTTGAAAGGAGTTAATCGACATGTTCATTGGAATTGGAGTATAGCCTACAAGTAGTTTATGGGGAGCAAGCTGGCGTAGTGGTTAGAGCGTGGGACTTCAGTCCCTGAGGTCCTGGGTTCGATCTCCGCCAAGTCACCAATATTTTATCTAAGTGATAATTCCGCAAACCCTAGGTCTAGCCTGGAGTAATGTGAAAAACAATCCCAGGCTCGTGCCTAGCGTCCTAGGACAAAAAAAAAAACAAAAAAAAAAAAACAAGTAGTTTATATTGAATAAATAACATTAGCCACTGTTTGATAGAAAAGGTTAGCCACAATTGATCAGCATTGTAAATGTTATTAAATTTAGGGAAAGTAGGCCTAAATAAAAGAAACGTCTTATAACATTTAAAACTATATTTACGCTTATACTGTTACTCACAAAACGGTAAATATAAAAACAAGATGGTAAGTAACGTCAAACGGCCAATTTCAGTAAGTTAGAAACATGTATCTGTAAAGTGGTTTTAAAACCACTTATAAAGCACACACAAACAACACAACCAAACCACCTTAAAGCTTAATAGTGAACCAATATTTCTTGTCACACAATGTACAATACATATAATAACAACTTATTTATATGTCTCAAATTAATCAGGACAAATATTATTCAATCCTGCATTTAAAAAATCCTGCCTTTACAATGGAGTAACGTCTATAAGACGTTTCTTTTATTTACTTTCCGACAATTGAACAATAAAATAAATTATTTGACAAAAAAATGTCAGGCAGTTGAAAGTACAATATTTGTAAACATCCATGAAAAATCTTATCTATAGAACATGGTTTAGACAATTAGAAAATTGAACCATTAATAAATACACAAAAAATTTAAAGATTGGTTTGTTAAAATCTTTTATAAAAACAATGAGTCTGTCAATAAATATTTTAAAGACTATCATGGCTAATATTTCATATACCTAATAAATTAGAAAACATGAATGTACAAATGTTGCATGATGATTACTGCACAGGAAAAATTTAGTTTATGTATCTGTAGCCTAAACAATATTCACAGCTATTCATCAATAAGCGTCAAAACTGCAACACTGTCCAAATAAATCAGGTAATTACTCAAGAAAGTAGTTTTTATAAGAAACAATTAGTACTGTAATACTTTCGATACATCACAATTTTGTTTCTATAATGTTATGGAGCTGAAATTGTCCCCTAACATTTTTAAAAACATGTTCTTAATTAATATTGTCTACGTTTTAAAAGGTTTTGTGTAAAAATCAGTAAGTTAGTTGGAAACTCTGTATAAGTTATAGTCTTACTTGTCTGCCACGGCTCGTGCCTTGAGCAACGCAGCTGTGTAGCAGATGGTAGCAGACTTAGGCAGACTGATATCATCGTATTTGGCCAGAACTGCTTGGACGTCCGCATACGCTTGCATCTCCAAAAGGGCTTCTATGAGATTCTCATGGATATTGAGCACATTCATAATTGGTGGCACCTCTTTTGTTAGCTGAAACATGTGGTCAAATATTTAAACTGCTATTCTAGTAGGACAATTGTTTCCTTATCTAAGAGTTTTTTTACTAAACATATTATTTACACAAAAAATTTCAGGATTGGTTTGTTAAAATCTCTTATAAAAACAACGAGCCAGAACAACGAGCCTTATAAAATATAGGCAGAGAAATCAACATAAACTGCAAGGTCATTGAGCCTAGACCAACAATGATACAGGACTAAAAGGTCGTATCTCTTATCAGTGGGCATATTTGTTAACTAGCAGGCAATATTCCTGAGTCTTAGTAAACAACTATCTATTGACAACTATAGCTATAACTGTAGTGTATTCAATCTTGCGATTACTGACTTTGTAGTTGGTCATCTACTTTATGGTGGCAATACAATAGTCAATCTAACCAACCTCAAACTACCTAGTACCTACACATGTTACTGCAGTGGAACTAGTCACAAAAAGATCTCTAATTGCTTGTCTTTTGGCAAACAGAAATAGTGTTTCTGAACAGCTGGTGAAACCTTTATTGACACAATATAAGATTTCACCGAGTACTCAAGCAAGCAACTGCCAAATTCTAAAAAATAACTGGGTACTAGTAAATAAAGGTCCTAAAGCCACTAAACTAATGCAAAATGAAACTGTTAAGTGTTCCAAAAGGTTCAGCGTTCTTAACACTGTGGGTGAGAATAAACCGGAACTGCCATATAGATCAGAAGCATTGTCCATGTCTCTCTCAAAAAATCATTTGTTCCTCATAAGAAAAAGCATAGAGTACTGCTGTTGGCTGATAGTCATGGACGCAAGTGTGGAGAGTTACTTCAAGACCAGCTGGATAGTGCTTATGGTGTTACGTCTATAGTAAAGCCTAGCACACCACTGAGAGAAATCACCTCAGATGCTGAGAAAATGTCAAAAGGCTTCAGTACTAAATATTATGTGGTGGTTGTCGGTGATACAAACGACATTACAGTTAAGAAAAACCAATCAGTGAATTTGGACTTGACCTTTATCAATGAGGTCTCTAAGAAAATAAATATCTTAGTTCCAGGCATACCCAAAAGATTTGACAGGCCAGCACTGAACGGGACCATAATTGGAATCAATGAAAGTGTGAATAAACACATCCAACAGCTCACAAAAACTAAACTAACCATAGTACCTGTTAACAATTTTAAATTGAATATTAAGGATCACACTAGGCATGGATTGCACCCTAATAGATCTTGGAAAGTTAAACTCTGTAAGGCAATCTCAGCAGCAATTTTAAATAATTCCAATCAGAGGTGAAGAAGAGCAAAGATGGAAGAAAACAAAGAAGCAAAAATTATAAATAAGGTGGAAAATTTGCTCTATGATCATATTCAGAATTCTAGAGAACGAAATAGTACCATTTTGCACCCTACACATTTCTCTAGACAGACACCAACACAACAGCAAGATGAATATGCAGAATAAAAAAAGAATTGTTTTGAAAGAGACCACCTGACTGCCAACCAACCATTTGCAGGCATTCATGTTATTGAAGCTGATATGAGAGATTTTTTCTCTAAATTTAAAGACAATTCTCTCGTAGCATTTAGTCATTGCATTTCAACAGATCTAAATTGCAACAATCAAATGAGTGCAGGTGTAGCGCAAGCCTTTAAAGAACAATTTGGGAAACCTTTAACTTCCGACCGCCTGAGTAACCATTTGACATGCCAGAAAATCAGTGGAGGGACTACAGTATATGGGTTGGTAACCAAGTCTGTTTACAATGGCAAACCAAACTTAAAAGACTATGATTTAGCATTCAATGACTTTGGTGAAGATTTCAAGACAAAAGGACTAAAATACCTATTTTGTTATCCAATGGGATGTGTACGTGATGAGGTACCAGTACAACACTTCGCAGCTAAGCTGGAAGAATTTCAGCAGATCACAGGAGCAGTAATTCAAATAGTAACCTGCGATAAATTTGACAGCAGAAAACTGCGAGGAGGACTGTCCCACCCACACTTCATACATCACCTGCGAAACATCTTCTCCAACACTGCCAAGAGTATTACCTGCCGTGTAATAATGTGTGTGGTGATAAAATCATGGTCAGTCCAGTGTCATGTGCGCAGGAGGGGGAAGCTTTGAATGAAATGTCTGTAAATAGCTCTAACTTAGAAAAAAGCCTTATTAATAATTTAAATAAGGGTATATGGATAAGGGTATTTTTGATAACAACAGTAATAGTAATAGCCAGCCGGAACAACCTCACCAGACCCAACCATGTAATTTATGTAATTTAAACTCACTACTGACCAATGTCATCAATCTGACCTGAGCTAAAAAATTCACTATAGGTCTAAAAATTTTAATTCATCTGAAAAAAAATTCTAAATTTTCAAATAAAAAAAAATGTTAACCAACATATTCAACATTTGGATTCCCGAAAGGAATCTTCAGAGATCGTTCTAGAAGAAATTAAACCTAATATAATAGTATTAACTGAACATAATATGACGAAATGTGAACTAGAGAGATTTAATTTAAACCAATTTTCAGTAACTTCAGGATACAGCTGAAAAACCACATCTGGAGGAGGAGTGGTGATATTGTCAGAGGTGGGTTTGAGAGCTAAATCATGGAACTTACAAAAAATAGATGATTTGACAGAGAATACACTTTTTGAATATTGTATAGCAAAATATAATGTGAAAAATTTGTACTTGTAGGAATTTATAGAAAATCTCAAATGCAAAATTTTGAATTCTATCTAGATTAAATAGGCTATTAGAAATTTTACTTGATTTGAAGGATGAAACCAACTTTAGATGGAGATTTTAATATTGATGTTTTGAGTTCAAAAGCAGTGGTTAAAGATTTAAAAAATAATCTTTATGCGAATGGCTTTCATTATTTGGTTGATTTTCCTATTAGAATAGCTCCTAATTCAGCAACTGCAATCGATAATTTTATTACCAAATTAGATTAATTTCAAACAAATGTAACAGGAATAATAACAGCTCTTTCTGATCATGATGGCCAGGTTTTAGAAGTAAATGTGCCTGTAGACCATAAGCTAAAAATTAATTTTAAGTATATTGAGAGGAGAGATTTCTCAGAAAGGAATATGAATGTTTTTAAAACGTTATTGCATAATAAAAACTGGTTACTTTTGTATATCGCCAATGTTTGCTTACAGTGTTTGACAACATATTTAAATATTTTTTATTTATTTAGTTTTCCCTTAAAAGAGAGTAAAAAGGTTTTTAAACAACAAAAATGACTGGATGGATTCAAACATTATACATGAAAAAATGAAATAGTGGAATTGAAAAAAACAAGCCACAAATTCAACAAAAAAAACAAGAGTTTAATAAGATGTACAGGTGATAATGAGCTTCTACATATTTGTAAGGAAAGAAACAAAGATTATAAAAATGGATGGTTTAAGATGGGAAGATGGTTTAAAGGTGAGTCAGTGGCTCAGTCGATAGCGTCACGGACTTCGGGCCCAAGGCAGCGATATCGTGGGTTCGGATCCTGGTCACTGTCGATAAAATTTATCAGTACAGTTCACCTTTGTACTGTACCGGCTCACCCCTTGCTTTGCTGGATACGTTCCACGCACGGGCAGTTGTCTATGTGGACGGGTAAATGCAAGGTTAAAAGAGGCCGCCAACCTCTTAAAAAAAGAAGAAGTTTTCAATCATCCGCCGTACAGTCCGGATTTGGCGCCGAGTGACTACCATCTGTTCCCAGCAATGAAGACGTGGCTTGCTACGCAACGCTTTGACACTGACGCTGAACTCCATGCCGGTGTAAACTGGTGGTTAAACTCACAGGCGGTAGATCTCTTTAAAGAGGGCATTGCAAAGCTTGTACCACACTGTGATAAATGCCTTAATTTAAATGGCGATTATGTAGGAAATATCCTTAAGGTTTGGCTTCAAAATGTAAATAATAATTTTTTTTTTTGTATGTGATTTATTTCAAAATGTCTGCTACTTTCTGGATAGCCCTCGTAAATATGCGATACCTTACATACGAAATATATATATATGCTAAATATCTTAATATTCAAGATAAGTGTGTAAGTAGGCTTTACCATTCCTACAAATACATCATGATACAGATTTTTCTCTACTTTTAAGTCAATAAGTCATTTATATAACCAAATTCACATAAATGCATTGGACTTACATCTCTAAACATTTTCACAGCCTCTTTGAGTTTCCCCAGCTTACGGGCACACATGGCCAGACGCCTTCTAATGTAGATTAGGACGTTGGTGTCGCGCCGATGTACCACTTCCAAGTTTGCCCCTTGGTGCTGATTTTGTTGCGAATGTCTGTAGTTGAGCTCTGCTGCCTTAAGAGCCTGTAAAAATAACATTACTGGCCAATTAGTAAATATTCATTAATAGGAGCCATCTTTAATTAAGTAAAAATTAAAGTCTTAGTTATCCGTCTTCTATAGAAATTGCTAACTTTTTTCACTCACTGTTTTAAAGCTAAGATCAAAATTAGCAAACAAAAATAACATAAAATTTTTTTATAAAAGTAAAATAAAAATAAGAGATTTAAAGCTATAGCTGTTTTACTGTGACTAGGGTGTGAGGGGTAGCAGAGAAGTATGCATATATGAGGAATTGACAAACTATGTAATATGAAGCACACTGGAACATTAAGAGAGTCTGGCGAGTATCTTTCCAGTACAGTGGGTGGCACATTACAATTATACCACGTAATGAAAAAAAACCTGATAGAATACCAGACTAACTAACTCACAATAATTGATTATTTCCTATTTCTTCTTGAATTCAAATTAGTTTAGGTCCTTTAACCTTCCATCACGTGCATCACTGAAGTTACTTCCGGGTCACTATATTTTTCGTTATAAAAACCATAGTTTGCATTCAGCAGGGCTATCGCCTGACATACCTCATGCACCTCTTTTGCGGAGTCGGTTTCGGCTACTCTTACCCCTTTCCCCAGTTGACCTTGGGGAGTGGTTCGCGTCACTACTGGATGTAGCTTCCGTGAGCGCCCTGTGATGTAACGGGTTTCCCGAAGCCTAATTCCGTGTGCGCCCTTGTGTTAGACCTTATTTTGCGATATTATAAAATGGATGAAGAAGAACGAATTGCACGATTGTTGGATAGAGTTGAAAGGGAGGGGAGTGAACAACATTTAGTGGAAAGACCTACCGGCGCATTTGTCCGGGAACTTTTTTTTCGAGGAAAAGAAATTTGACAAAATGAGTAGACCTTCTAACAAATGATTTATTTTTCATTAGACCATAGGTGTTCATAGGTGTTTTATTTCAAACACTATTGCAATTTGTCTAATAGCTTTGACAAAACAAGTTGTCCTTGTATGAAATGATTTCTTTTTCATTTTTATAGGTGTTTTTATGTCATACAATAATGCACTTTTTGCCTAAGAGCTTTAACTAAATGAGTTGTCCTAGTAACAAATGATTTTTTTCATAAGACCATAGGTGTTTTGTGTCATAAAGTATTGCAAATATTTTTTAAATTTATACAATAGTGCTGTTATACAAAAAGTACGGTAAGTCTTTTTTATCCACAGAACTTACGTATTTTTATTGTTAATTATAACATTTTCTATTTTATATACAACATAAGTAATAGTGTAATAACTCATAAAAAATGTTTTTCTTACAGTTTTATTGATATTAAAATGTTTTTTACTCATCATTGTACAATTTTTGCATTCCCGGAGGTGACATCCGTGAGCTCCCTCTGGTGTTTGAAAATCAATGCACCCGACGGAAGGTTTTACACGATTTGGTGTAAAAGTAGGATGTAAAATATTTCATTGGTTAGTTTAATTTTGATCATCACTGAAATGGCAACATCACATTGACTTTCACGCTCAGATTCTGGTGGAGTCCAGGTGAACTACGTGTGGGCATTCCACACCGTATCACACATATAGTTCTCCCGCCTCAATTCAAACATCGGTGGCAGTAGTTGTAGGCGTCGCGCAAGCTCTGTCCCTGCCACCACTAATCCCCCCCTCATCCCCGTCCTGTGACTCACCACAACAGCCCAAAGCGTGCTACCTCTAAAATATATATATGTATATAATATAATAATACCAAGAAATGTTTATAGTATATTTGACTGGTCGCTACTTTACCTGTTTAAGCAGTTTCTCAGCCTCCATGATGGTGGTTGCTTCTTCTTCTGCCAGAAGAATGTAAGCCGGAGCACAATCAGGATTTTTCTCCAAGGCCTCCCTTGCAGCTTTCACGCGGGCCACGGGGTTGCGTTCACGCCATGCTAACTGCATTACTACAACAGAAAAGTTCACCATTAAATAAAAGAGTGAGAACAATAAAAAAACATCAAACCTATAACGTCACACTGTAAACAGTGGAATTAGCCAGAACACAAATGTAGTAATCCTTTTAACCAGGAGTTTAAACAAAATGCTACGCTATATTGTGAAAAAGCTCTGGACTACATATTCCCTAACCAATGACTTGTGATAAAGTAACCAGAGTGTCGCTAATTTAACAGAACCCTGTTCGCTTCAAGTTGTAAAGTAGTTGTATGGTAAAATTTCTTTAGAAACAGAAGTAATTAAAATTGTTCTAGTTTTCTCAGTTTTCAAGTCCACCCAGCTTGGTATTTCAGAACACAGAGGTAAATTCAGAACAAATTTCACAAATTTCAGAACAAAATGGGGTATTTTGGGGGCAGAACGAAAATGTTTCAAATGTAATGCCTGAAAACTAAAAACTGCCACCACTGTATACATGTAGCCTACTTTTAAAAAACAAACAGTTATAATCAGTTTCTAAAAAAAACTGTGTTTAGATTCTTTATCAATCAGGCATACCTATACAATTTTTAGCTTGAATTTGTTTTTAAGCAGGTTCTAGAGTAGGCTATATTTGAAAGGTTATTATTTCATTGTTTATTACATGAAACTTCTTGGATTGGAAATTGGAATTTTTCAAAAAGAAAACTTATTATTTAGGTTTAAATTTTTTGCAACACCTGCCGGCTCATATAAAGAGGGGAGACAATTTGAATAAATTTAAAAGAACACTAAAAGACTTTTCAATTAAATTTCCATTTTATTCCATAGAAGAATTTTTTAAAATAAAAATTAGTAGCTTACATAGTAATTTGAATTCCATTGCAAAATTAGGGGAACAATTATATTTTCACATGATTAGTAATGCTTTTTTTTCTTTATATACTATATTTTTACATATGCCCGGAAAATGGATATATGTTTTTTATTTTAATAACTGCTAATGTTATTGTGATTGCAATAGTGTTATATTTTTAATATGTTCAATTAGAAATTCTTCACTTATCTTAATAGTATATTTTATGCACTTTGTAATATGCAGTAATATGTATTTATAGCCTATTTGACTCTATTCAATCTTATTTTATGTATAATGAATAAAGAATGATTTGTTTTGATTGTTTAGTCCCCTCTCTTTAACATTGTAGGGGCTCAAAACCTTTAGCATCGACACAAATGCTCTCCCCTTGAAGTTTTTGCTGGGTTTGTGTTAAGAAATAAATCTGTATGTAAACATAAATCGGCATCAATTTTTTATTTGATTCTCATATAAGAGATGTAAATAGTCATACTTACTCTCGTATTCAGCCTTTCCAGCGTCACACTCACAAGTGAAGAAAGTCTGATGATCTTGCGCAGAAAGATTCATATCGTAATATGTCAAAGGCTCTTTATTGGTAGCCCAAAAGAATCTCTGATATTCTGAACCCCTAAACAGGTTTAATGGGTTTCTCCACACCTTACACTCTGAAATACATTACGGTATGGTTGGGGTTACTAATGTTTTGAATGAGAGGAAATACAAACCCCCTCCCCCCACAGTAATAGATAAAGTTGTATTATGTTACTGCTTATGTCCTATATATTATATGTCTTTAACACCATGAGTGGAATCGGAACCGCCATGCTGTAGCCCAAAATTGATGATACTGACAAGTTTGACTGAACCAATGTCATCACAATCAAGCAAAAAGATCGTACAACTTTCTGAAGAAAAGACTGCCAATTTCGTTAAAAAGAAACACATATCAGTAGGGAAGAATTAAAAAAAAAAAACAGAAAAATCTAATGTTGCAAAACATCTTTTAGGCCAGGCGCACACAGGCGATTTTGAGCTGCGCAACAGTTGCCCGACTAAAATGTTCAACATTGTTTTAAATTGGAGTGCGCACACGAAGGAAACAGTCTGGGGACAGTCGCGCAACTGTTGCAACCGATGTTCCCGGACCCAATTTGCCAGCGACTGCTCTACGACTGAATTGTTGCGGGACTATCGCTCCAGGTTTGGTATCCATTGAAACTAGTGTAGATGCGCACACATGCGACTAAATAGTCGCTGTGTCGCCCAGTCTCACCCCAGGAGTTCAACTACTCGTGGCCTAGAACTGTCACTAGTGTTAGCTCTCTTGTCGTGTGAAGTTTTTAGAAAATTACAAGTATGAGTGTGTGTGATGAGGATGTCGAACAATTAATTGATGAAGTTGAGAAGAGGCCACCTAAAGTCATTGAAAGACTATTCGGATATTAATTTAAAGAAGAAGTTGTGCAATGAAGTGTCCTTGGCAGTTACCAAAGATTCAGCAAACAAAGCACATACTACGGCTGTATCATTGAAATCCATTCGGAACGCTGTAACTAATGTATGTCCAACACGTCTCAAGACTAGATTCACGACTAAAAAGTTGCCTGTGTGCGCACTCCAGCTCAACTGTCGCTAGACTTCAGAGTCTCCGAGTGAGTTGCGCAACAGTCCCCCGATTAGTCGGGCAACTGTTGCGCAACTCAAAATCGCCTGTGTGCGCCTGGCCTTAGAAAAAACACACAGCCACAAGTTGGGAGCCTCATAATAAGATGGTTGTCTGTAGATTACAGTCTCCATCAAGCTCCCGTCACACCAAACGAGCACCAACCTGTTTGAGTGGTTCCTTACTTTGTCCACTACTATTCTAACCCGTTTCCTACCCTATGTCATTCACTGAATGGTCAATATTGCTAGCCATAGTAACACCATTCTTTACTATGGATATGTTTAATTATTGTATTTTGAAAAATGACAGGTTAATTGTATATGGTATGTGTATAAAAATATATGTTTTGAAAATAGTTGTAACTAAGCTAGTAAGAATTATTTGAACTCTCTCTACACTTGACGAAGTCTCCCAGGGGACCAAATACTGTGCGTTTTCTGTGACTTCTATGGCCTTTCTTCCAAGGTAAGCTAGCTATTATCTCCTTTATTATACAATTCAAAATCCTGGCCTACAGCCTTTCCTTTAACAAAACTTACAGCCAAAAAATAAATCATGTTGTTTTTGGAAAGTAGTCCTATTCATTAATACAGTTCAGCAAGAGTTAAGTTTCAAAAGAATGTGACAGTACTATACCTGGAACACTCTGTTGAGAGGACATTGAAGTAGAGTTGCAATTTGAATTTGAAGAATTTGAATCTCCGTTCTGATCGCCGCCCCCAATCCATGGGCTGATGTGGTTGAGTGAAACTTGCTCTATGAAGGATGCTCCATACTTGCGGAAGTACCACCATTCGAAAATCTGGAAAAAAGGTCTTTTAACCCTTTCGCCGCCAGCATTTTTTCATTGGTATAATCAAGAACCGCCAAAGCCATTTTGTAGTATACACAATGCTTATATAAAATGGCTATAACTTTTTTTTCAAATATTTTGATAAAACCTTTTCTCTAGAACTATAATAAAATTACCTTTATAAAACTATAATTTTCATAAAGATTTTAATGGATTTTTTATGTTACCAAATGTTGAAAAAATAAAAATAAATAAATAAAAACTTTGAGTACAACCAAGATCAATATCAATATGAATAAAAAATATTCAATCAATTTTTGTGTTATTTGTTATTACTATCACACATTTGTTAGCAAGCATCCAAAATTTGAAAATCCTACATTGGAAAATAAGCTTCTTTTCAGGGTTTGAAATAAATTGTCTTCAGAGCGTTTTGATGTCTTCGCGTCACTCAAATTCACTATATAACGTCTAATGCCATATCGTACACAAGAAAAGGAAAGAAGCCTACAGTTTTTCTTTATGCCAAAGAACAAAGTTAACACAAACTATTTACAACATAAAACTATATACATACACTTAACCTACAAAATTAAAATGGTCTAACATCGTCTAGCACCTATGTTGGCCAAACACGCGGCGTGTCAAACAACAGACGACGTCATCTCGGGAAATCTCGTCTACCACGAGAAAAAACACAAACAAAGGCAGTCAGAGCTCTTGCTACATGAAGCCCAGACGATGCTGATTCGATTGGTGTGTTATTTGTGGCTTTTGGGTCAGAGGTGGCCAGTAAACAAACGTTTAGCAGACGTCCGATATATCCGACCGCGGCGGCCAAAAGATTATTAAAGACAATATTCCAAAAATAGTAAACCCATCAAATTATATCATAATGGAATTTTTATGTCACAAAAAGCATCCTTTGGTATTTACTATAATTACATACAGATTTGTGCAGTATTTAGAGGTTGTTTAGGGTGAGATTTCAAAAATCACCTGATTGCCAATATGTATCTAATAATACTTAAAAATTATACATCATATTCTATGGATACATCCTACTACATTTATGAAAATTTGCATACACCAGATGAAAAGAGCCATTAACAAAAATCAGACAAAATGTCCTATAGAAATTACTGTTGTCTTAAGGCTTGGTATAAGTTTTTTGATTGTTCCAAACTTGAGCTGTTCATTATCCCAACTAACATGTTAAGCGATCCTGACTAAAGAACCAGCACAGATCATCTCACTCCATTCTACACTCATATTCAGCATAAATTACACACCCAAATGTGCGTCACTACATCAAACAGCTTATAATTATTGACATAAATGTATGTGTTTATAGACATTTTGAGGTTGGCTACGATGATCTTCTTATTATTAAGGTCGATGGTATTAAGGTATTAAGTAGTGTATTTTAAATCTCCAGTCTGCAATAAAATAATTTTATTTTTTTCCCTTTTGTCCTTCCAAAAGATAATTAATAGCCTAGCCATTTATCAATACTCAGGTTTTATCATACGTATGTAAATTATGCCTATTTATTTTACTTACCAAAATAAGACCAGATATTAGTGACGAAGTTCCTGTGAGCGCTACGTAGAATTTTGGCGTCAGAGTGCTCAAAAACATAGTAGCTGAAACATAAGTAATATATTTGAAACTATGCCAGAAGTAAACTTCACCTGCATAAGTAATTACAATCGAGGAATAAAACTGTACAATTTGTTCATGGCAGGTTATGAAGGTTGTACAACCTGTGATTGTTACGTTGTGAATACCGTCTTTTCTTTATCATTAAATTTAAATAATAGGCACACAAAATAGGATACTCACAATCCCACATGGTGAGAGCAATATGGCCTATACCCTATACCTGCCCAGAACTGAGCATAAGCATGTGCAAGAGCATGAACACAACCCCCCACTGTAACTCCCACCCTATCCCATCCACCCACTGTCCGCTATATTGATTTACTGGCTCTTCCACTTACATCTTGTATTTTCTCTAATTGTCAATCTTTTTTAAATAATATAGCTCACATTAGTCTATTTTCAATTGTTTTTAATTTGTTAGGATTTTTTAAACCCCTTAAAAATCATTAAGTAATTCACAAGTTTGATAAAAACTAATTTCTAAAATTGTTTTTTGATTTTACTTCATCTCATGAAAACTAAACCTTAAATTTCGGCAAATAAGTTTGAGTGCCAAAGTTAGATTTTATAGTCCATGCAAATGTATATTACAAATATCTACAAATTTAATATCAGCAATTTAGAATGGGTAAGTAAATCCAAGCAAGAAAAAATTAAAAATTAAAACTTTTTACATGTTTAATAAATGTCTACATTATAAAGAAAATTTCTAGGACAGAATATGACCTTCATTCATGGTAAAAAAAATATTGTAACCAAACACTTAAATTTGTTTGCATTATTATCTACTTTTTTCCTTCATTAAAATGTAATTTCAATACAATTGTTAATTAATTTTTTAATAACTTAAGTTAGTAAGTTACCTAACACATTGTATGGAAACATCAAATAGAAGTATTTTAAATTATTTGTTTTATAACAGTTTTTGTGTAAAACAGAATTTTTCATCCATTACTTGTGGGGGATTCAAAGCAGTGTTTCCGGACCTTTTTTCCTCGCTTACAATTTCACAAGACAAAAATATTTTTTGTTTTTCTAACCTCACTCGCCAAATTTTTAAACAATGTAGTGTAACTCTTTGCTGTTGTGAAGGCTATTTTTTCACACTTGATGATTATATGAGTGCAGAACTGAGCACCAGGTGCAAGGATTTCAATTTGCTCATATTACTTGTGTTATTTTTCAAGCCTGTCACATATATTTTTTACATTAGTAAAACAGTAGTTTTTTTACATTAGTTTAGTAGGATGAATAATCTTGACCTTGTTCTATATTAATGTCTTTTAGAATATGCAATTTTGTGGATGGCTGTTGAATTAATACTGACAAACCAGCTTAAACAATCCTAACATATAATCGAGCACTCACAACGTCAACACAAAACCACCACAGTGCTCTCTGTGGAGCACAGGCTGGGAAATAATGATCTAAAGGAGGACTGCTGCCTTCAGGCCTATGCTGGGTACACCTAAGCACAAATCCATGTAAATAACAATAATTATATTTAATTTCAACTACATTCTTACTGAAAAATTATTATCAAAATATTTTAAGAAACACATTGTACTAACTCTTACAAATAAGAACATGAAAAAAGGGTGCCTAAAAACAGGCAGTCAAATGTAATTAGGACGTTAAGCAGAAAATCATAAATTGTAGGCTACACTTGAAAATATGATTTTTGGCAATAACCCTTTAATATAAACAAATTCAGTCCAGTAAATTAGGTCAAGTACGGTATTTTGAACCACTCCTTTACCCCCTCTCCCTTAATAAATTTGTTTGGACTCGCCTAGTGCTAGCCTGTTTTTGGCTGTATAAAATGGATGTAAAATTGCCAATAAACCAACATTAAACCATCATATCATTAGATCAAGATGGCCGCCGCTCCAAAACTTTCTAGCCTCAAAATGTGTTTCTCACTTTAAAATGTTAAAAACTTACCTTTTAAGCGGTTTTAACTGTTTGCTTAACATAGGCCTACCATTTAACTGTGAATGAGTTGCCTTAAAAATAATAATAATAGGCACTATGAAACTTCTTATTTCACTTATTAGGCCTAAACCCTAAAATAGATACTATCATAAGAATTGAACATGCATGCCATATATTTTTCCATGTACTGTACCTTGCACTTATTAACACAGGTACTTCATCAAAATTATTGAAATCGTATTCAAAGGGTTTATAAAAATATATTTGTTTAAATAGATTTGTCAAATCTAACACACCACCAGTTGTGGGGTTGGTTGCCTAGGAAGTAGCAAGTCCAACTTCAACCCCATATTGAAACCATCATAAGCATCGAATGGGCCTATAGCATCGTAGGCCTATATTTTGTTACCTACATTCCCTACTTATTAACATACTGCATCAAAATCATTGAAATAGTTTCTAAACAGTTTTTTAAATATTAATTTTATTTTGGCTAATGGATTTGTCAAGTCAGTAGCCTTGGAAGGAGCAATACCAACTTAAACCCCAATTAGAAACAATCATTAGCATCGAGTAGGCCATACATATATCAGCGGTTCCCAAGCTTTTTGGTATGGCGACCCACCACCACCTTGAAATTTGATCCCACGACCCACTTATACAATAATATTAAAAAGCTACAGTATAATTATTTATAAATTTATAAATATCATAATGTATACTGAGACACACTACTAAATGGAAATTGTTAGGATGATGTTGTTTGAGAAACTTAAGCTATTAGAACTAAAGTTTAGGCGTACTATTTACAAGAGACTTTATCTGGATTGAATATTGACAGCTACAGGAGCATTTTCCACACATAGCCTCTTTCTGTAGGCTATTTAGTTTTTAATGGGGAAGACTTCTCACAGAAATATCTTTTTTCCTACTCATTTAGCTCTTTAAGATACAACTGAATTGATACAATTTATTTTATTGGTGCCCTCTCCATTTGTTTTATCAGGTGTAATTATTCATAGAAAATTTGTTTATAGCTCTGCAGCTCAAAGTTGAAATATGAAACAATGTGTCATCAAATAGGTCTATGCTAAATTTTTTTGATTCCTGTAAAGTAGGAGTCTACCGATGTTTTTTGGTCCAGTCCTATTATAAATATAGCTTACTTTGGGTCAAGCTGAAAATGAGAAATATGATATCAAGTATTCAGAAAAGATAATGCTAATTGAAGAATTTATCATAATAGCTAACACTTTCTCATGAACTCTTTACAAAAATGTTAAAACCTTTATGAATCAAACACTGACAGAAGTGTTAAACAGGAGGTTAATTGTTAACAATTTCACTAAGCACTCCTGTTGATTTATCTAGGAAAACTCAAGTTTAAAAAAGCTAGGGGTATAAAAGTTTCATATGTTTTCAAGTTGTTTAGTAAATACCTATTGTGTATTGGATAATACAAATCCATCCTTGCTATTTTCCGTAATTGCGGAACTAACGAAGTTGACATTATTGGTAAATAAGTACTCGGCCGTATTTTTCCAAAAAAACCCTTAGCAATAGATTTTATCAGCGTGCACAATAGTTAATGCTGACTATAAACCCCTTTTCACTAACTTTTTTGCCAGGTATAACCTTGATACTGTCGTGTCTGTAAAAGTGTCCTCTATCTGTTGACATTATTGGTAGGCCTATATAGGTAGGCTACTCACTACTCGGCCATATTATTCTGCAAAACGCCCAGCAATAGATTTTATGAGCACGCACACTACTTATAGCTGACTTTAACCCCCCTTTTTTCACTAACTTTTTGCCAAGTAAGTTATATATCCTTGAGGTGATACTGTACTCGGCCGTATTTTTCCACAAAACGCCCAGCAATAGATTTAATCAGGCGCGCACACTACTTATTGCTGAGTTATTGCCAGGTTCACACCAAACAAATCTACTGAGTTTTAACTTATACTTTAAATATCCGGTAGACTAGCTAACCGGTGCATCTTAACCAACTTCATTAAATATTGGAAAATTGATTTTAAGATTGAGAACCAGGCTAAATGAAATGAGAAACAACTTCTCGATAGCAAATCTTGTGAAATATGTCATGATTAGGGCCTACAGTATCATTAACATTACAATTTCATTTCAAAAGGCCTAGGCCTACATCTTGCTTAACTAAACTACCATAAGTGTTTCACACTATTTAACTTAGGTAGGCTACGTTACTTACCCATAGCAACGTGTTCTCCTAGTTTAAGAGGAACTCTTAATATATACAACGAGAACACCACAGGAAGACCCCAAAGAGCCCATAAATATGTCCATGACCAAATAAACCACGACCTAACCTCCCTTAAAAATTCAAGCATTTCACAAACGCCAAGACGTTCATAGGTAGGTAGGTACGAGTTGACGATGGTAACAAAATGGAATTAAACATAGTTATATTATTTGTGAATTAGAAATAACCTTCCATAGTAAATAACTGTGAAATACTGAAATTAATTATTAAAATTCGAGCTGGAAAAATTGACAATGCCGATCCAAATTGAAATTGACAACATTTTTTTTAACCACCACTTACCACACCACCGTAAAAGTGAGTGTGGTAGACTGACTGATAGTGTTTGGGGCTCAGACTCAAGTGAGAGCGAGAGCGAATTCATTCTGTAGGGTTTAGTCACGGCCGCCCTTAGCTACTACAGGCCGCGGCCTGGTAGAATTGGCAACGTCACAAGTGGTGTTGTTTAGTGAAAGACGTCCTATAAGATAACATGGCAGACAGGTGACGTCACCTCATTAATTCGCGCTTTATTGATTTAAATTAAAATTTAGGAACATAAATTTATTAAAATATTGAAAATAAAACATACGGAATTGAAAACCGAAACAATATAAATTAAAAATCTATATATGTACATTTTAAGTGGAGCCAATATTGTCATAGTCCAGTAACCATTACCAATCTTTCGTAAATACAAAAATACCTTTAGCTGCTTCCAAAAAAAAACAGCTGTTACAACACCACTTGCGACGTTGCCACTTCGAAGGCCGCAGCCTGGAGTTAATGGCGGCCGTGGTTTAGTTAGTTGACTGTGTCGTCAACGTGTCACCATTGATTTACATAATGGTGCCACCCACCGATAACATCATTGTAGGGCTAAAACATCGATGTTAATAGATTTTTAAGTCTTTGTCTGCTCTTTGCTACCTGCAATGTCTTAGCTAAATTAACCTATTTTACTCTACTAGCATTGATTAAACATTCTCACTTGCGTTGGTTAGTCTATGCTGCTAGCTGGACATTCTAATTTGGCAATTTCTCTTTCACATGTGCAAGACTAAATACGTATTGTTATTAACTGTTATGTGAAATTTATTACACTGTTATAAATTTTAGTTGCAGCACTCCCTGCTCTTCATCATAATAATTAACGCCAATACGTATTTATAGTCGCTCATCAGTTGCGAGACTCGTAATTTCCATCCAAGGAAATTTTTAAGAAAACTAAAAAAGGTCTGATTTAATTAAGAATTTAAGCATAACATTTATTTCTATTCCTCGTTTTTATTTATATTTTCATAAATCTGGTACTTAGAATCCCAATCATTTGACATAGGAGGTTTATTTACAAATTAATAAAATATGTTGGACATAATGATAATGAGCTTTGAAACTGAAAATGGGACTTAACGGGTTTTGAAACATTTGCCTATTTGCCTTGTTATGTGAATAGAGATCTTGTTATGTGCTGTAGAACTTCAATTTTGGATGTAACCATTGACTATATATACCTACCTGTAGGTATATATAGTCAATGATGTAACTTAACTTCCAGTCTTGTCCATAGTGGTTTGTGAGGAGGGTCTTCAAATCATTCAGTTTCTCGCCCTTCAACAGGCCACCTTTTTTAACTTTTTCTGGTGAAGTTTGACACATGATTTGCTTTTTTTACAAATAGAATAAGAAATGGTACCTCTTGTCGGGACCGCAAAATTTGTGAGATATTTTGTTCTCAGTAAACTGAATTCGTTGTAGTTATCTAAATTTTCACTAGAATGCAGGACAATTCATTTTTTGGACTTAAGTCTGTGTATAAAGTAAATATTGGAAATGGGACCTCTTGACGTTATGATTAAAATAACATGGAGCGACAAGAGGTCCCTTTTCTTACACCGTGCAGAGGCTAACAAAACAAAATGATGTATTTCGACCTTTTACATCTTCAGTTCGATATTTTAACCGTTGCTGTCCTGTTCTAAGTTAAATGAGGTATAACAGTCGATAAAACCCCAAATTTCGATATTTTTGACCTTAATTACCTATATAGGCCGTACTGAAAATTTTGCATCGCCGACAAGAGGTCCCTTTTCGCTTTCCACATCACATTTTACATTTTTTACTTAATTTACAAATTTAGTTATTGATAACATCAACATCGATATTTTAATACTCGGCCAAAAAATACTTTTTGTTTGTCGAAAACAACGGTAACCTACCATCGATTTAAAAACATCGATGTTTCGAGAGCATTAACTATCGAGTATCGATGCTCATCCCTTTCTTCTTCTTCTACTTACTTTACCGGTATTGTGATTTTGAGAATCTGCTGGATGATTCGTTAATCGTTCTACTAGGAAGTAGGAAGGACTTAAGGTTGGAATTGGAAGTACGAGAACTAATTCAATCATTCAATAATTTTAAGAAAAGACCACGACTAGGAGTCATAGGTATGTAACTTGAAATAAAAACTAGGTTATCCTATCCTAAGCCTCAGTCACACTAGGCCTAGGCTGTTAAGCATCCACTACTAATCGAATCGATAGTTTCAATCAATATTAGCGTAGCCCAGTTAAGAAACTGTAGGCTACCCCCACTTAGCACGTTGACGAGCTCAGAGCGATTCTTAGGGTGTAAAATTTCGAAATCCACGCATTCTGAAACATGGGATTATCAATCGTTGAGATAGGGACGCCACTTAGGTGGGGAGAGTATTTCATCCGGATTTGTTGGACTGCATCTTTTTTCAGAAATGTTCCTTTGGGCAAGACCGGAAGTTAAGGGAAGGACTAGAGACCAGACAGTTGCAATTATCTCCGTGTGAATAAGCTTACACGGCAAAACCTGAATTAATTTTTTTAGAAACTGGTTTGTGTGACCTAAGTTAGATGTCATTATCTTGGGTAGGCCTAGCCTATCTGTTATCGCCCTCATGGCTTTGGGCATCTGGCATCTGTCAGACTTTGAAAACCTGTTGTGCCTCATGCTTTAAGGCTATAACTTAGTTTTGTGTCAAATATTTGATAAGTTAGCCTATATCTACAATGTGATATCGTGTAATTTTTAGATGTCTACTTACAGTATTTTTCACGCTGAATCCAAAAATCAGTTTTTTTGTCGGAGAGATTCATAAGTGGCCGTAAAACGAAGGTTAAAATTACGAATCTAAGGTTCATTGAGCTATACTGATGGTAATATGGCGTGGTCTGGACGGGTCCGACTGTGGACTGAGTGAGGAGGAGAGCAAACAGCTTTTTATACTCGACTTAATGCGGAATGAAATAAATTCGTTTTGAAACCAAATAATCAGCTCTTATTTAGGCATATTGTAACTCTGATTTTACTCTCATGGCGTCGTGTGTGGTTTTGTCTGTTTAGTATCGAAAGTAAACAACTGACAAATGTTTCCACTCCATAAACCTTCCACCCCTTTTAGTGTTAGTCGCCACCAGAACTTGGACTCGTCCAAACCACAAATAGGTGAATAACCCAACAAAACTGAAGCTTAATATTAGTTATTTAACTGTACGGCCACTTAGGAATCTCTCTGACAAAAACTTATTGCATTTTTGGATTCAGCGTGAAGAATACTGTAAGTAGACATCTAAAAATTACACGATATCGCATTGTAGATATATCAAATAATTGCCAGTTATGTCTTGATTATGGGTGACTTCAACTGTAACTTAAACTGGATCGTTAAGATTGATGGCAGTTGAGAAACATGTTGTATCTTGCAATATGACAGTAGGCTTACTCCCTCTAAGTTACTCCCATGACTTTAGGCCTACATAGCCCTACTCCCACTGGACTCAACACATAACACCGCCGAGGCCAAAACCTTATTAGACCTCATTATTGTTAGTGGCTCTGAAATTTAAATAATTCTCAATAGGCAACTTCCAGTCCCTTCTATTTCACATCATGACCTTAATTAGCCTAGGTACTATAGGCACCCTTGTCAGAAATCAAACAAAAGGTAAGTATTCACTTTCCCCAACTGTCCTAAAATGTTCTATAAGACGTCTTTAAACTGTTCTTAGACACCAAGACTACAACTTTCTTAAATGACTTTTTTGTCGCCGAAACTTCCTGTAGACACCACACCTAGATTACTAGACACCACCCCTGAAAAACTCGCTTGATCATCGTGACAGGACAGTTTCCTACACTAGACACCTCACCAAGATTACAAGACACCACACCCAGATTACTAGACACCATTACCTAGATTAACCTAACCTAACCGTAATCTGGGCGAGGTGTCTAGTAATCTGGGTGTGATGTCTAGTAATCTAGGTATAGTGACTAGTAAATTGGGATTGGTGTCTAGTAATCTAGGTAGGTATAGTGTCTAGTAAATTGGGCTTGGTGTCTAGTAAAGTGGGCTTGGTGTCTAGTAATCTATGTATGGTGTCTAGTAATCTGGGGGTGTAATAATGTGTAGTAATCTACAGGAAGCCTCGGCGACAAAAAAGTCATTTGCGAAAGTTGTAACTTAGTGTTGGTCCCTAGGAACAGTTTAAAAACTTCTTATAGGACGTATTAAGTTTGTTGGGGAAAGTGAATGGTAACCAAATTGTTAACCAATGTTCATTCAGCACCATGGGATTCGAGACACGCTCTGGAGTCGGTCAGTGATCCACGGAAAATTCTTAAGATTGCACAATTTTGAACCTCAATGAATATATGCCCTGATTGTGACCCGTAGAGTAAGCAAAAATATCCAGTCCTTTTGGTTTCTAATGAGATCCTTGGATTAGTTGCTTATCGCGACTCTAAAACTCTAGCCAAGTCAAACAGCTACTTCGTAATGCCAAACTTTGCTACATTAGTAGCTTTTTTCTGATAAAAACTTTATCATCATCACCCCTTTGGTGCAATGCAAAAAGGCTTGGCATTGGCAAGCAGTAAAACTCAATTCCAGTATAGGGCCTATACCCAATACACGATGATGATGTCTTCACGGCCACTGGAGAAAGGTAGTCAGAATTTTTGCCGCGATCGTGGGAGACGATAACCTATAATTTCATTTCATTTCATTTCATATAACTTTATTCATTAAAGTACAATACATAGATACAGGAATGGCGTCAAGAGTAATTTAACAAATCTAACTTAACTAAAATACTCATAACTATCAAGCATGGCGTAACAACATACCATCCATATGAACATTCTTTCAGCTCAAATAAAGTAAAACAAGCAGTGCAATATAAAAGTTTAAACATGAAAATATCAAAATTAAAATAATAGATAAAATT